ACCAGTCTTCGTGGAGGGACTGTATTTTCGCTCTCTAATCCAATCATCAAACAGACTAGCTTCTTCCAAGTCCTCCGGCTTTGCTGCTGTGGCGCTTTCTGGATTGCGAAATGGTATCCAAGGCTGATGGTTGGTTAGCCGCTTGAATGCGTCCAGTGTTGATTCCAGGCGAACATCATCGGGAAGTAATCTCTTCACTTCAGATTGGATCAAAGCACTATGTCTTTGCCTGTCGCTTGCATTGGCTTCTGCTGCGGTGTCAAGAAGTCGCAACTCAGTAGTGTTATCTGTGGATTGGACAAATTCGTCTTCATCAACAACAATCTCAACATCCAAGTCATCGCCAATGGCTTCTCGTACAGCACGAGACAATCCTTCTTGTACGTTCTCATCGGATCCGTCATTGTCCTCTTGACCACCATCGTCATCAGATCCATAATTGTGGGTTTCACCAATGGCTTCTACTGGGTTCGAGATATCTTCTAGGGGTGGGAGGGCATAAGAGAATCCCATGTTCTCCTTCTCAACATGCTGGGTAGGGGCGCACACATCCGTGAATGGCAACTTGGTCTTTTCATAACCAAGCGAAGCCGCATAACTATTCAGTAGCAACAGCTTCTCTGTCTGATAAGTCCCATGGTCCTCTGCTCCAAGTCGGATCTCCATCTTTCGCTGATTCCGTTCTTCGAAGAACAAGTAAAGTAGCCGTTCTGCTCTGTGGATACCTAAATAAAGCAATGACAATGAACCAGTAATGTTTCAGTAGCCAAAAAAGCGATGTTCCAATATGCACCGAGTTGAACTTACCGATATGTGTTGCAGTCAGTATCTTGTATGCAAGATCCAGATTGTCGCGTTCATTGCTGTTGGTTCCCCTGGCGACATAAGTAGTGTCCTTGGCTTGGTTGTAGCGGAAGATGCTGACCAGTTCGCTAGGTGGGTCAGAAAGGCAACCTCGATCAATGTGTTTAAATAGCTCTTGAACCAGTCGCTGTAGCTTGGGAGTGGATGGTTTGAAGAATCGCTTCGGTTTTGGTGCAGTACTATCCTCGGGCATAGTAGCGATGGTTGCTTCTGTGGCTGTGTCTTTGGCGACACAATAGTTATAGACAGCTTCGACATTGGCACGAAGAATTCCTGGCTGTGGGATGACTTTGTTGCACTGCTTCAGTACCTCCTTTGTCGTGGGTTCGCGGCCTAACTTGGCAGCAAGCTTTTCTTCAGCTCTTTGATACTCGGACGCTTCAACAGTGAAAAGAGCTCTTCGCAATAGAGCACGAAATATTCCTGCTTGTGCACCAGTAGCATCATCCATCAAGTCCGTCCACCGTTTCTGCCAATGGAAGCAATCCAACTTGACAATGACACCAGGAAATGCCTTGGCAACGATCTTCTTCACATTGCAGCAGTTGTCGACGTAGATGGCTTTCACAGATTGTTCCACTGGACCGGCGAAATTCAGTGGTGCCAACTTTATTGCATCAACTCGAGGCTGATCAAACAGATCAGCATGTAGGTCAGCATAATCTTCCAACCGTTTCTGCCGGGATGCGATCTTGTTGTTCCAAAGATTGCGATTCAATCGGTTTCGCAGTCTTACCAGATCAGGAAGGATTTCACTGAAGGATTCAGAGTGCTTCAAAGCTTTCCAGAAGATGGTGAGACTATCCTCATTTTGAACAGTGACAATACACTTGAATGGAGCGAAGCTACTTCCCTGCTTTGTCCAAACATGGATTTTGGATGCCAGCTTGTAATTGAAATCAACCTTCACCACGTTTGCCGAGAGACCCTGCATCTTGCTTTCAATGAATTCTTTCCTGTGCTGGAAGACGGTTGTCACCACCGAGTCAATTCGGTACTTGGACAACACCCTTCCATTATACCCAAACTTGTCATTGAATGGAGAGAACAAAGGAGGCCTTGTTGGTTCGGCATCTTCACTGGTAGTTTCTTCCTGCTGTTCTGGCGCTTCTGCTGGATTCTGGATGCTGTAATTCATGAAATCCTCTACCGCAAGTTCATACTCAATTTGGGCATCCTCCAACTTCGTCTTGCACTGATCCAGTTGGGACTCCAGCTTCTGGATGTATTTCTCCACAATTCTCTTCCACCACGGTATCAAGTGCTTCATTGGCATGAGCTCTTCTTGTTGGTCGGGGTCCGCAGTAAGAAGCTCATGCATGGTTGTTACCCCAACAGAAATCAGACGGCGGAGTTTGGTGCTACCCAGTTCGGCTAGAATGTTGCGGTTTCCGTGGACGTTGTGGTCATCTTTGTCACCTAATATCCATGCAAATTTACAGTCAGTATTCACTTTCCGCTGCAGTGTTTGGGCCTGAAGCTTCAGCTTCACCACATCGCTGTGACGTTCATTCCTGCGTCGAGACAATCTTGCTGCTTCTGGATCGGTTAATGCATCTTGCATGTAGTGCTCCATGCGCTTCTGCTTCTTCTTTTTCGGCTCGATCTTGTTGGCTCCCACCGCTGTTAGATACAACTGGTAATCCTCGTAATACTGGTCATAAGTCATCATGCGTAGCGTTCGGTAGATCATGGCCGTGGACGTATTCGCCGACTCTTCAATAATGTGTCGGTGGAGGTCTTGGTCAAGTGCGAATCCTTTCCCCAGATAGAAGGTGAAGAAGCCATGATAGACATAGGCATCAAGCTCCATTGATTGCTTGTTGTACCCTGCAAATCGCCTGCTACGCAGGCGACAAAGATAAAGCTTGGTGTCTAAATACCGGTGAGAAGATACCCCATACAGAACCTTGGGACAATTAATCCAGCGAGATTTCCCAAGATCAACATAGCTGTTCTTCTTACAGTGGAGACAGCATGGAATGTGATTGGGGATCAGCTTGTCCGGCACAAAGCAAACCAATCCCTTCACGTAAAAGCTGTCGGTGTGACGCCTCTTGGTGTTGATATTCAACACGTTGCTGTCAAAACGTCCTCCGGACGGATTGATACACCTCCAGTTGTTACTGTCAAAGAAGGCCTTTGCGTCACCATCCACCAGGGAACGTATCTTCTTCACAAAGCGCCATTGTGCATCTCCAAGTTGCTTTGGTTGCCGGTCATCCGCCATTTTGATGTGGGTGGTGGCAGCGTGACAGTGAGTGCTTTTTAAAAAGCAATGCGAAATGCGAGCCAAAAACCACTCGCGATTGACAGAAATGGATTCTTGGATGGGTGGAGTACTGATTTACTATACGAAAGCGCACCCTCCAATTTTTCAGGTCCCGCCACACCAAAAAGAGTGAGCCCATCCAATATTTCAGCACGGTGGATGACAATAGAAATTAAAGTAAGGTTTAACGTGCCTTTTCATGGGTTGTGGCGGGCGGGGAGTTAGAGGGAGGATATTGCAAGGATTAGAGGGATGCGGGGTTGAAATATGTGCGGGACCGGGATTGACTCAGTCACGAGTTATTTCTTTCTTTTCTTTTTAATTCCCCTCCTGCGCGGGACTCATAGTTGTCCACACCCCTCTACCCCAAATCGAAACAGGACTGCCTAGCCACTAGGTAGTTAGGGCAGCGCTTTCAAACTCTACGAGTACCCGTCTACCCTAACGAGAGGCACGCTCCAGGCAGAGAGATGAGGAAGTTACCTATCAACCCCCAACCTCCTCGTCCTTGTCCACATCATCGCAGTCGACCCCCACCAATGGAGAAAGCCGACAAATGGCCACGGAAAACACGGCAGAAACCCAAGATGTGGATGAGGAGGAAGGACTTCCCGCATCCAGGCGTACATCATTTCTAGTTCCCTTGTGGTTCACGGTTCACGAAAGATCACCACCTTGACTTTCAACACTTACTTTGAGAATGATTCCTTGTCTGCCTTCCATCCAGCCAGCCTGCTTGGAGGCAGAAAGAGCGAATGGCTTCGTGATACGGTAGCCCAAAAGTGTTGGTACTAGTAGTGGCACAGAGGGTGGGGGTTCGCCCGCCATCTATCGGTACCTCTGCTAGCTAGCCAGGAGGTAGCTAGTTGGCGTTGAAAAGTCGACGTCTTGCTTCAGCTAGCTGAGCTCTATAGTACAGCCATTCAGCTGGTTAGCTACGGCCGGTTACGCTGCAATGCTTGGCTGGAGCCATGTTCTTGGAGAACTATCGAAAACAATTATAGCTGCGGCCAGCTACTAGATACCGGTAGATAAACAACCTCTGCTGGAATATGGAGGAGGTGGTGGTCCGATGATCAAAGCTTCTGATTGATCATTCAGTGGTCGTTGCGTGATGGGGAATGGGGGGTGGCCATGATCTCGTCACATTCTCGGTGTGTACCGTACCGTGCTACTGGTACTAGGTACTACCTACCGGTACTGGTTCGGTACCGAAGCGGCAGCGGGTGGTTGCAGGCACAGAACCTGTTAAAACAATGACGTAAGGTTGAACAAGATTTAATTAATTATTGGTACTCTGGAGTATTCCGAACATCCATTCCAATGACTTCTTCAATGTTCTGCTGTAACCGGGGAAGCTTTGAATAATTCAGAATTCAGTGGAGAGTCAGTGGTAAAAACCAATGACCATCACTGGTTTTCCTTTTTGAAGAAGCTGGTCGAGTACGGTACAAATCTTTTATAGTCGATCGATCCACGCTTCTTTGGTAAAAGTCCGAAACATACTGGGATTATCACAAGAGCTTGAAGTAGGAGTCGAGTCATTATTGATCCCAGGTCAGGCTTTCCGAATATTAAAATAGACCTACAGTATTATGATGAACCATGACCGCCGGCCACTGAGCATCAACTGCAGCTCTGCTCAAGCTCAGCTATGCAGCCTTGTACCGTAGCTGGCAGCTTGGTTTGTTCCCACTCGATCACCGGTCACTTTTTCTAAATTCTCACTTTCTCAAGGACTTCTCAGCTTGAGATCAACAACATCATCAAACATCAAACGTCAAACAACAACACCATTCCCTTCTGATCTATCTACTATCTATCTACTAGCTAGTCTCTATTATTTGCTTAGCTATTTGTGAAAATGGTTTCGGATGCTGAAGATCCGGTTTCAAGGCTTGTTGTGGATGAAGGCTCCTGTATGAGTAACAGTGGTACGGGTAGTGCACCTACTAGCACGCACACGGAGAGTCATACATGTGTGCACAGCAACACTAGCTCCAAGCCAAAAGAAGGAGAAGCAGGAACGCTAGCTTTGGTCTCTTCTCGAGTCTCTACGTTCCGGTGGCTGTTTCTCGTCTTCTTTGCCTGGCAGTCCGTGTTATTGTGTATCTGCGTGTACTTCCTGGCAGACGCGGCGCAAGTGGAGGAATCCATTGGGCTGTCTCCCATTGTCTTGTCGCTCGTTTGGCTGGTTGCTTGTCTCATTGTTGCGGGAGTCTTTGCCTTGTACGATCGTCAAGTGCAACTTTTGATGGGAAAGCTCCAAACAACGGCATTTCAAGATAAGGTTCAGGCTTTTGACACGCAGGCAGAGCTGACTGCCTTGCTCGTTGAAGACGACGACGCGGATTTGGAACTTGGAGGTGCAGTCCACGACAATAGAGGTAGCAGCAACTTGGAACAAGCACCTAACAGCAACAGTGGCCATGCATCCACAGCACTCCTGTCCTCCGCCAAAAAGCAACGGAGTGGACGATCTCTCGTGACGCTACCCAAGAGCCAAATCAAGTCCTTCCTCAAGAATCCTCTCCTCCATCAACAAAAGGTGCAACGAAACCAAAAATCCATCAGTAACGCTGGCAAATACGACAGCATTGCCGATTTCTTTCCTCATGCGACCGTACTTCTCGCAAACATTGCCGGATTCGGGCCATGGACATCCACACGACCTCCAGCGGATGTCTTTTATCTCCTCCAACAAGTCACGGAAGCTTTCGAACGCATTGCCAAACGTCGTCGTGTCACCACGGTCGAAAGCGATGCTTCCTTCTTTGCCGTAACCGGGGTACCCGACGTACAGAGTGATCACGCCCTCCGTATGATCCAATTTGCACAAGCATTGGTACGGCAATTCGTGCAGGTGGTCAAGAGACACGAATTGGCTCTAGTGTTAGGGCCAGACACGGGCGATTTACGCTTGCAAGTTGGTATTCACAGTGGTCCCGTCACGGCAGGACTCTTGCAGGGAGATATTGTCGTACGTCCCCGCTTCCAATTGTTGCACGCGGGAAGTGATACGCTCGAGATTTGTCAAACAATGGTCACCACGGCTGATCCCAATCGCATTCAAGTCTCGCAGGCCACAGCAGAGTTGGTATTATCGTCGCAAGAACATGAACACCAAGGGATTTGGTTGCAGCCACGACATGACATGGTCACAACATCACGACAATCGCGAGTCAAGGCCATTCAAACTTACTGGCTGGGACATCGAGCCACCGATGAAGGTAGTTCCCACGGATCCTTCAGCAGTCGACACGATGATGGATGGGGAGGTGAAGAAGGACAACAACAGCAACAACAGGCCGATGGACTATTGGGCGTCGCATCGCTCTCACGGATCAAAAAACGACGCAAGAATATTGACTGGATGGTCGAATTGCTCGCACAACGACTCAAGGCGCTCATGGCGCAACAACAACGAGATGCCAGCAACAAAGGTGCGGAAACAACCAACACCAACAACAAACAGGGCATGAAAAAGACTCGATCCAAAAGCAAAGTCAACGACCAACTCAACGACAATACTACTAGTATTCTACTAGACCAACAAGAGGAGCAACTATTGTTGGACAAGCTCCTCGACAATCCCAATGACGCCATTGAAAACAAGGGAGAAACTTTGTTGGATGAACTCGTCGAGTGCTTTACACCGCCTGCAAACAACAAGAATGCCTCGGATGATTCTTCTCTCCCAATCGATCCGGAATCCATTCAACTGAGTCAGGCCGTCATGCAACAATTACAGTCACTCGTCACAAAGATTGCCGATCGATACAAGGACAATTGCTTTCACAACTTTGCTCATGCGTAAGTGCAGTAGTTGAACTCTCGATTGAGAAGTTAGCATCCTGTGGTTGAAACTGATGCTGCATTACTTAATTGTCGCCCTGTCCTAACCCGTTCCTCTTTACTTGCCGATCCTTCATTACAATGCAATACAGCTGCCATGTCTCGCTCAGTGTCAACAAAATTCTCAATCGTGTCGTTCATCCCGATGCGAGCCGCGGCAATGCCGATATACCGGCCTTTGGATCGGCAGAATTCTCCTTGGGAGATGTACACAACTTTACACACGGGATCACGGAAGACAAGCTCGCGCATTTTGCCATTGTGTGGTGTGCTTTGATACATGATGTAGACCATCGTGGGGTATCCAATGTCCGACTGGCAGAAGAGAATCCTGCCATGGGAGAACAGTATAAGAATCGCAGCATTGCCGAACAAAACTCGGGTAAGTTAATAAGTTCAAGCCAAGCGAAGAGCATTCATGCATGCAAGAGAAGACGAACAATTGCCAACGTGACACAAGAAGGCTCACGATCCTTGTTGCCGCATCTCTTCATCCCGCTTGCTTGTTTCTTAACTCACGCGCACAAAACGCAATCTGCTCGATGCATGCATTCAGTCGACATTGCTTGGGATCTCTTCATGGACCCTGAATACCGAGACTTGCAAAAGTGCATCTTCACCAATGCATTCGAATTGAATCGTTTCCGGCAGATCGTTTGCAACGTCGTGCTGGCCACTGATATATTCGAAAAGCAGGCCAAAGAGATGCGGAATCAACGATGGGAAAATGCTTTCCGGGCCAAGACGTTTGAAGAAGAAGAGTTGGAGTTCAAGGAAAGATCGAGCACTCTGAAGAAAACCATTGTCATTGAGCACATCATTCAAGGTACGCACCGCAAGGCTAGGAGAGCAACTATGTTGAAACGATACACTCATCATCTCATCGTCACGTGCTTACTTTGTGCTCCCGCGCAGCTTCGGATGTGTCGCATTGCATGCAGCACTGGAGCGTATACACAAAATGGAATGAAAACCTTTTCAGAGAAATGTTTGAAGCCTTTGACCAGGGAAGATCTGCTAACGATCCCACCAAAGGCTGGTATAAGGGAGAACTCTGGTTCTTTGATAATTACAGTACGTTGCAATTTCGCTTTTGAGACTGCGTTGCTTGCTGATCCTCCAGTTCTGCCTCTCACAAGCAAGTTGTCATTGTGATCTCTTTCGCTTGGCAGTCATTCCACTGGCGAAAAAGCTGCACGAGTGCCAAGTTTTTGGAGTTAGTAGTGACGAATTCCTCAACTACGCTGAAAGCAATCGCAGGGATTGGGAACTCAAGGGCGAACAAGTTGTCCAGGACATGGCCGAACGATACCGTAAGCGCAAGGAAATGGAGATTGGAGGCCTGACCAATGATGAAATCAATAGTTTTTCAGCCAAGGATCTTGAACTGATCATGAAGAAGCTGATTGAACGAGGACGTAGCAACGTGAACGCCAGTGTGGATCCAACCAAGAGCCGCAATGCGGCAACTCAAGCATGGATGGATGCCCTCGAGATCTATGAACGAGCCCCGGCCGCACCCGAGATTCGGGATAGATCCATCGTCTTGTAAGTGGAACCAGCATACATGTAGTGGCATTGCGACCAACCAAGACGGCTACCGGTAGTTTCAATTGCTAACTTCTTTGCTTGCCTGATTGCTTTTATGTCAGCCCCGTGTACAGTGGAATCTACTCTTGGCTGAAAGGTTGCAATGTGAACAACGACGAGAACGGTTACTTTGTACAAAACTTGGCCCGAAAGTATACCCGAGAAACGAAACTGTTCTACCGACAGAATCCAATCCACTTCTTCCGAGCCCTTCCGATGCTTGCCGAAGTGACAGCAGGGATTCAAGACTACGAAACGGCCCTGAAGCTCATCGAGCCACTGAAGGACTATTACTTGCCCCAAGAGCACTCTCGGGCAATGGAGAAAGTTTACGGCGTGGACCGATCGGCCGTGGCTTTTAGCAACGCGGCCATGTGGCACGAGCAACTGGGTAATACAAAAGAGGCGTTTGCCGCAGTGGACTATGTGATTGACAGTGTTCTTCCACGGATGGATCCCAAAAACACGCTGGGCATGTTCGAGTTGCTGACACCTCTATTTCGAGTCCTCAAGCCTCACGGGCAGAGCAAGCGGTGCTATGATCTGTTCAATGAACATGTCCGAACTGCCTTGTTTCGCAACCATGGCCCCGATGCGTTCACGCCCACGAAATCCATCCACGATCCCATTCTCTGGCTCTTTGGCATGTCCCATAATGCGGATGCCTTTGAGGAATTCGACCAGGTTGTCGAGTATCTGACAAAGGATGAAGACAGTGGAATTGTCTTTCCGTTCTTGGACACCATTGTGTGCAAGACGACGGTGAGCCCCTCAACCATGAATGCTGAGCTGTGCCATCTGGTGATCCAACGACTGGAACGTGAAAATGCTGATACGGAGATCTGCAAGCAGATTGCGAAAAAGAGCTTGCGACTGGTTCGAGTAGCGGACAAGATCATCAAAGACACTGACGGAACGGTTCTTTGGCCGATTGCAAACGCGTACCACGAGCCCCTCTTGAAAGAGAGCGAAGCATTGGCAAAGAAGTACGGAGTGTTTTTCGAAGACCTGGATGCCAAGGTCGATTCTTCCGGGCTCTCAATCAGTCTTCCGCCTTCCTACCTTGTAAAGCCCGTGGATGCCAAGGAGTTTTTGTCTTGGGAATCCACACTGTGAACAACCCAACTTATAGACTGACTAGTACACTGTAGCTCTCTGTCAAGTACCTGGTACCGTACCGCCATGAGCCACCACCGATCTAGCTACATGTACTTCATTCAATGCAATGCGCACTGCAAACAATCAGGCATCCAGCTTCGACCAACAGTTCTTTCAATTTGTTTCTTAGCTTTGTTCCGTCTATTTCCAGCCTACCGGTACAGTGTACCGAACGAGAGGAGCCTGTCATGACCATGGTGGAGTACTAGACTCCTTCAATAGGAGTAGCCGCTGCAAAGGAAGTAACATCGTCTTGTAGAGTAATAAAGGTTTTGGCTTGGATGGGTCCACCGCCTCCCATCAACCAAAGTGACAAGGTGGGATGTCATATCTGGACGAGCTCATGAATGGCTCCAACCACGAAACACGCCCGAAGCAGTTGGAGTGAATGAGTGAATGACGATTCGATTCGAGTCGTGATTAAATCAGAATCCTAATCAATTTTTGGAGCCATCCTAATCAATTTTTGGAGCCGCTCCAAAAATTGATTAGGATGGCTCCAAAAATTGATTAGGATTTTGATTTATCCACGACTCGAATCGTCATTCGTCCCGCAGTCTTTAAGTCTTCTCAACTACTGGTACGGGGAACAACCAAAGGCACAATAACACTGCCTTATAGAAAACAACCAGTCACTAAACAAAATTTCCACGACCAGCTGCGCAGACATAAAACTGACGATAATGGAATACCGGTAGCCGCCAAGGTGGATCTTCTTCCTTCTTATGCATACGGTATCGTTGAGGCATCACGGCATTCCTCTGCCCAAGAGGAGGCGTCATGGTCGCTCCGAGAAAGAACGTATCCGAGAACTAGCTGTCGAACGGAAGAAGCGTAGACTACCGCTGGTACGGTACCAGGCGCAGTCGAGTCCTCAGTCGTGATGTTCGCTTTGTTGCTTTGAAGGAGTAACACCATCAATTGCGATGATGTCAGTTAAGCTTCTGTTAGTCCTGAAGTGTATTCGCATTGCGGATATCCTAACGTGACTAGGCAGCGTCCGTGTGAGTTCCACAGGATGTCGCACATGCTGGTGTGAATTGCCACGTCGTGCGCGATGCGTGAACAAATTGTCATTTGTGCGTCCTTGCCCATGAGGTTGCACACTTGCCCTCCACCAAGAGCTCCTTGACTGTGAAGAACGAGAGCTGCAAGGCGGAGCCGAGGCAGGGTAGTGGCTGCCTTCTCTGCAGGACTATCTCGTCTAGTCTCCTGCAATTTAACTTAGCTTCTCGTGCAACGGAATTTGACCGCACAAGAATGACTCGCTCTGGTGAATGGCCCCAACAGATCCTCATGAGGCAGCAGCGAGGAAGCCCCGGCACTATCACAAGAAGGACTGGCACAGACCAGAATGGAGTCTATGCGGATCGAAGAGTATCGTCCTTGGGAACACTGCGGCATGTAGTCGCAGGTCCAAGGGGTCCCCCCGCTTTCTTGGCATTCCCACGCATAGTCCGAAGTCGTGGGGGACTTGAGATCCGTCAAATCCACACGGCAGCTGTGCAGAGACTTGGTGTACATGTCCGGCTGCAATTCGAGGCACTCCTCTTCGATGGTACCGGTGACATAATTCAAATACCCTTCTCCGGCTGAAGCGAGTTGTGGGTTGGAATCATAGAGCTGCGTCGTAGAGCTTTGGCAGTCCACAGCCAGGACCTCAACTGCAACCAGCAGCGACAGTGCCACCGCAGTTCGTAGGAACCAAGAACCCACCAATAGACTCATGGTCGACATATTTTTGTTGTTTTGTTGTTTTATGGCTATGCTTCCCTGTTGAAAGCACTGTAGGCAGTGAGAACATAACAGTTCCTTCCTTCAGCTGTTCAAGTTGATCGTTGCACAGAGCTGCTAAAGTTATTAATAGTTGCAAGAAACGAACCGGCAAGGAAACAGAACTCAGCTGGCTGGATGACCAGCCAAGGAAGCATTCTGTTTGTGTTTCGCCAACCCACGAGGGCCATCGCCAACATGTATGTATTGACGAGAACCAATGCAGGTGCAACGCTGCCTGTGTTGGGACCACCGATTTTCCTGTGACCAAGTCGTTCAACTACCTGGTTGCTAGCTAGCAAGACCAGCTGATGCAACATGCAAAACACCAAGCCACGTAGCTAGCTGGTTCTTTCCATATGTAGGCTACAGTACATGTGTGTGCATCGGAGTGACAGTTAATAATTTCTGTACTTCGTTCTCTCAAGCAAAACCTACTAGCTAGTATGCATACAAGCATCAACTCAACAAACGCAACATCATTGAAAACTAATCCCGTTGCTCGCCGAAGTTAGACCTTCTAAAGTTAGAAGTAGTTGTTCGGCGAACTTCGAGTCGCGTGACAGTCATCGTCACGTCACTCGACCAACCAATGACTGACTTCGACGAGTTGATTTCCACGACACGCGCAGGCTCAGTTCAGATCTTTGGCTGATCTATTTCCAAGTCTTCTGAACCTTACAATTGGCTCCCACGACTTGTCATTGTGTCTGAGCGTCTGAGCGCTGTCTGGAGCTCGCCATGCATGGCTTGTCCGCTTGGCAGCGCCCTCTTGGGTGGGTACTGGTACAGTATGCTTTGATCTTCCCTCACTACGTTAGCTACCGGAAGGAGCGGCTGCTTGCCCGCCAAGGACCACGCAGCTGAGAAACAACTGAGACACACACAAGAGGAACGACAAAGCCAACAACGAAGCAGTTCTGTTCCCAATATCACACCCAATTCACTTCGACCGGAACCCATGCCACCTTATCCTCGACCTCACATATTGCTTCGAGGATACAGCTACAGCCACTACCACGTACAGCAACACAAAACCACCAGAATGCGCTCCTCTTTCGTAAAACAGACCTGCCCCAGTCCTCTTCAACGAGATGGACCGCTTGACTGCAGCTCCACGAGCGACTTGAAGTTTCACACGAATTATTTGTCTCGAAACCTCGGCATCTTTATTGTCCCTCTCAATACTTGCGCCAACCTTTTTGAGGGACTCTCTCAGCTCCGAGAAAAGTTCACGGGATAGCTATAGCTACCGGTAAGGAACAAGTCCATGGCTGGCAGCTAGCTAGAGCGCTCGACTTTTCGACGGCTGTTCCCTTCGGTCGTCGATCAAACTGCTCAAACCACACCAACCACGCACCCTGGCCGAGGTGCATCGGAATGGATACCAGGTACTATTAATAGTACCTCAGTTCTTGCTTTCGGTAGGTGTAGAACGTGCGTGATTCAACAAAGATGGAAAGTTTAGCCAACAAGTCTCTATCATCTATCATATAGATACATCATTCTTCCCAACGTATACATGGAGAGCTCGATTACTGGTTTCGAATCGTTTTGCTGAGCACCCCACAGAGCTGGGTTGTTCCATACAAGTAGTTGCCCCGTACCGGTGTACCTTACTACTTGCCAAACGGCGGCGAAAGTTCTTTGCCGTTGTTGTCTCCTTGTGTAAACGATTTGTCTGCCAAGTTCCTTATGTATTTACTTCTATGGTACAGGAGGTCGTTGCGGCGGGAACTTGTGCAGTGTTTATCGTAACTCGCTCTTCAGTCGATCCCCTTTGAATCGCACGCATGCATCAACTTCAGACAGACGCACGATCCATCGACTACGCCGTGGAATATACTTGCACCATGGCAATCAGTTCATTCTGGAACCCCAAGCATTGCACACCGGTCATGCTACGCAGAGCAGCAGTGGCGGCTGCCGAAAGATAATTGTCCAACTGCTCAATCGATGGTAGATCCATTCCATTACAGTTCGTCGTTGTCAGCAAACCACAGCTGAATCGACAAAAGTCAAAAAATGCAGGACACTCCTCCGAACGGTCAGGACAGATCTTAGAGGTTTCTTGGAGATCCCGATGACGAAACCCCTGCGCATGCTTGACGTCTTGCAAAAAGTCAAACTGAAAGGACTCAAAATCGGCCGTTCCATCCCACGTGGTGGCAACATATGGGAATGCCGCATTCAAGGCCGCTTCGATTCGTGTCAGAATCGTACCGTCATCGACATCGGTGCAAGTGATGATAAACTGGTCAGCATATGAAGTTCGTAGATCCAACGTCACTGTATGTTCTCGCATGTCACTGCTGCAGCCGCCAGCGGGTGCAGCTGTTGACACAGTGTCTTGTGCTTGGGGAGGCAGTTGTTGCTGCTGTGAGAAACCTGGAGGAGAGATGACCTGCTGTTGCGACAAAGGCTGGTCTCTCCTTCCACCAGGTGGTGTAGGAGATAAGGTCGTAGGAGGATTTGAGGGAACTCCACTGGGGACAGAACTGGGGTTGGAACTGGGATTGGAGCTAGGATTGCGACTGGGGTTGGAGCTTGGCACTGAGCTAGGATTGGTACTGGGAATGGAGCTGGGGTTCCTGCTAGGGTTCGAGCTGGGGACAGAACTGGGATTCCTGCTAGGGTTTGAGCTGGGGACAGAACTGGGAATGGAACTGGGCACAGAGGATGGCACAGAGCTGGGATCTTTGCTTGGAACATTGCTGGGGAAAGAACTGGGATTGGTGCTGGGATTCTTAGAAGTACTTGGTTGAGAGGATGGAATAGAACTTGGGAACTGTGAAACAGTAGGCATGTTCGATAAAGTTGGATTGATGGATAAACTGGGGGCATTGGATATGGTGGGGTTGCCACTAAGACTTGGTTGGGCGCTGGGCTGCATGGATCTTGAGTTGGCTGCTGAAGGGTTGAATGATAAAGTTGGATTATCACTTAATGTGGGGTTGTTGCTGAGTGTAGGGTTGTTAGAAAGTGATGGTACGTTGCTCAGAGTGGGATTTTCTGATAGTGTTGGATTGTTGCTGGTGGATGGAACATTAGACAGTGTTGGGTTGTTTGAAAGACTTGGTACTGCAGATGTGCTGGGTATGGCAGACTGGGTTGGATTATTACTGGTTGAGGGCACATTGCTGAGTGTAGGATTGTTGGAAAGACTGGGTACAGTAGATGTGGTTGGATTTGCAGACTGTGATGGTTGATTGGACAATGTGGGGTTATTGGACAAGCTTGGCACATTACTGAGGGTGGGATTTTCTGATTGTGTTGGATTGTTGCTGGTGGATGGAACATTAGACTGTGTTGGGTTGTTTGAAAGACTTGGTACTGCAGATGTGCTGGGTATGGCAGATTGGGTTGGATTATTACTGGTTGAGGGCACATTGCTGAGTGTAGGATTGTTAGAAAGACTGGGCACTGCAGATGTGGTTGGATTATTGCTCAAACTTGGTTGATTGGACAATGTTGGGTTATTGGACAGGCTAGGCACATTGCTGAGGGTGGGATTTGATGATTGTGTTGGATTGTTGCTCTTTGAGGGAGCATTGCTGAGTGTAGGGTTGTTAGAAAGACTGGGCACTGCAGATGTGGTTGGATTTGCAGACTTGGATGGTTGATTGGACAATGTTGGGTTATTGGACAAGCTTGGCACATTACTGAGGGTGGGATTTGATGATTGTGTGGGATTGTTGCTTTTTGAGGGAGCATTGCTGAGTGTAGGGTTGTTAGAAAGACTGGGTACTGAACTGACAGAAGGTACATTGGAAATGGTTGGATTATTGCTCAAACTTGGCTGATTGGACAAGGTTGGGGCATTGGACTTTGTAGGCATCAAAGAAACGCTTGGTTGCATGGACACAGATGGCTCGAGAATAGAGGGGTTGCTCGAAACACTTGGTTTGCTGCTTGGTGGCACGCTTTGTCCCGAAAATGAAGGTCGACTTGATGGCACACTTGAAGGAATACTTGAGGGGACACTTGATGGGACACTGGAAGGAATCCTTGAAGGGAGACTGGATGGAACACTAGAGGGATTGCCTGAAGGTACCTTAGATGGGGAAATTGATGGGGTTTGTGTTGGGTTTCCAGGCAACACTGTTGGCCTTAAAGTAGTTGGAGGAGCTGTGGGAACCTCTGTTGGCATCAGAGTGGTGGGCACAATGGCTGGAGGCGTAGGCATGCTGGTGGTTGGAGTGACTGTGGTGGGAAAGGCCGTCGTTGGATTTACATTTGGTGCTCGTGTTGGCAATGATGTTGTGGGCATTCCTGTTGTGGGGACTATATTTGGTGCACTGCATGTGGGCACGGCTGTTGTCGGTGGAGTTGTCGGCGTTCCTGTAGTTGGCGTGATGTTTGGAGGGGTAGGCATTCCAGTGCTTGGTACAACGTTCGGTGGGGTGGGTGCTGCTGTAGTTGGTGTGATGTTTGGAGGGGTTGGCATTGCTGTGCTTGGTACCACAGCCGGTGGGGTGGGGGTTGCTGTAGTTGGTGTGATGTTTGGAGGGGTAGGCATTGCTGTGCTTGGTACCACAGCCGGTGGGGTGGGAACTGCTGTGCTTGGTACCGCAGCCGGTGGTGTAGGTGCAGCTGTGGTTGGTGTCACAACTGGAACTCGCGTGGGTAAAGGTGTGGGAGGGACTGGTGCTCTTGTTGGCTCCCCAGGGGGAGCAGTGGGTCGTGGAGTTGGATCTGGTGTGGGATCGGGGGTTGGCGCAGGTGTTGGCATGGGTGTTGGGGGGACGGGTGCTCTTGTTGGATCCCCAGGCATTGGAGTGGGCCTTGGAGTTGGATCTGGCGTGGGATTGGGGGTTGGCTGAGGTGTGGGCTCAGGAGTGGGTTGTGGAGTAGGGTCAGGAGTGGGTGGTGGTGTGGGTCCAGGGGAAGGCATGGGTGTTGGACTCCCACTTGGCATGGGAGTTGGCTTTGGTGTGGGGAGAGGCGTTGGGTCAAGTGTTGGCATTGGTGTAGGGAATGGTGTTGGCATGAGAGTTGGAATTGGTGTTGGAAAGGGAGTAGGAAGAGGTGTTGGATCGATTGTAGGCAAAAGACTAATTGTCGGAGGTGGAGTCGGTTCCATTTGGAACTCTGCTACGTCTCCACTTGCCAGAATGTTCGGCAAAAGCCCAAGGCGACGATAGTAGTCAATAGTGATTGCGTAGAGGTCTTCAAACAGGTTGATAGGGACAGATCCAAATTGATCACTGAAAACAGGGCAAAAACAGGCATCGCCAGGAGCTCCGATGAGATGCCGCCTCCCGGGTAGGAAATTTCTTGAAAGCAACTCCTCCCTTTCTTCTTGAGTTCTTCGTCTCCTTTGGTCTGCGGGTGGAAAGAAAGTCAACGGGTTTTCCATGGTGCCACTGCAGCCAAGCCCTCGACAGGTTCCCTTGACGCGAAACCCATAGAACCACACTCCAGGAGTCCGACTCGGAGCACCACTTACTAGCGTGACCTCATCAATCTCTCTAAAGTTTGGTGCATCGCAGCGTAAATCTTGTTGGCCATTGTAGACTTGTTTGATGGCCTCTTCCATGACGTCGAACTCTGCGGCTGTGACTTTATCTCTGTCGCCATACATTTGGATGATGAAGACGCTCATGAACTCCTCTTTGTGGCTCGCACAAAACACTCGCTGGGACTCCGTCACGTCCACCAAGTCCTCGTAGAATACCGGCCCCCCTGCGTCTCCCATTGGCGGTGGAGGTAACCCATCGCGAATGACACTGTGGAGAACCACATTAAAGGCTGCGTCGTATTCGGCTTCAGTTGGTGCGCGCATTGCGGCAAAAGGGGAATCGCAGCAGTAGGGGAGAGTCGTGCCTCCTCCGCCACCACCGCCGCCTCCTCCACCGCCGCCGCCGCCTCCTCCACCACCTCCGCCTCCGCCGCCGCCAACATAGCTTCGGCTTGATCCTTTTCCTTTGCTGCTACCTCCACCTCCAGAATAACTATAGCGATAATCATATTCATACTCATAAGTCACTTCTTCCTCGACGACGACAGGTGGTCCAAACCCTGGAATACACCCGGCACCGAATCCACCACCTGCGCCTTGCGATCCCCCTCCAGTGCTTGCTGCTCCCTCGCGAGAGTTCAATCGTCCAAGGTCGACTCCTTCAGGAGTGACGACATCATATCCTACATTCGTTGCTGTTCCAAAACCCGCGTTCGTCACAGTCTGTTCCGTTTGCAGCAAGCCCTGCAAATTATTGAGGATGGCGTTTGGATCCTGGTTCTGGGACTGTTGCAGTGCCTGCGAGAAACCTTGGTTGACACCCGAACCTTCGACAGGAGTCTGCGGCTGGACCACCGTCTGCTGTTGTTGAACCACCACGTTCTTTTGAACAACCACCTGTTCTTGATAGGAATAACTGCTCATCCCTCCCTTGCGTTTCATGCTTCCCTTGTCCCCCTTGAGAGCCCGTCGGTAGTACTTGGGATGTCGTCCATTGGGACGAGGCTGATGCGTGGCATCGCTGGGCCCTTTCTCTGAATTCGAAGCAGACTGGTGGCCCTCCTCTCGAAACCCTTTGACTAGTCTGCGATGCCTCCGTTGATGCCGCTGTCGTTGTGTCCGTCGCGTGTATTCCACAAAGACTCCATCTTCATCTTCGTCTCGCTTCAGTTTGGTTCGTTTTTGGTTCGACCGCACTTTCTTTCGTAAACGATGGTAAGTGGGCGTCCGCGATTGAGCTACACGCCACTCATACGTTGGTGTACTTGTTGGGGTACTTCCAATGGGTGCAAAATGTGAGGGGTCGCCAGGAGGGAAGTCGTCATTGTTCATGTACTGTTGATATTCGTTGAACTCGTTGGAGTTGTACCCAGTGTTCGCATTATTGCCTTGTTGTTGTTGCTGTTGTTGTTGTTGCTGCTGCTGCTGCTGTTGATACTGTTGTTGCTGCTGCTGATGCTGCATTCCATATTGAAGCCCTTGTTGGTATCCGTCGTAGATCCCAAGGTCATACCCATAGGCCTGGCCTGCTTGATTTCCTTGCTGGTATCCATCGTAAATCCCACTATTGTATCCTTGGGCCTGGCCTGTTTGGTAGCCTTGAGTCTCTCCTTGTGCCAAACCTTGGTTGAACCCTTGAGATTTTCCTGCTTGAAATCCTTGAGTTTCCCCATGAGCGAGACCTTGATCGTAGCCGTTTACTTGTCCTGATTGGTAGCCTTGAGACTTTCCGTGTTGAAGACCCTGATTGTATCCCTCCATTTGACCTGCCTGGTAGCCTTGAGACCCCCCGGTTGTGACACCTTGCTGATATCCTTGATCGTATCCATTATTTCCGTGGTTGGTGCTGCCCCCTGTATTGTAGTTGTTGTTCCCTTGGTTGTTGTAGTTATCGTTGTAGCCCCCATTAAAGTACCCCTGTACGCTGTCAACCCCTCCTGGACTACCATGAGCAACGCCGTCATTGACATCCGCGGCCACACCATTGTTATTGAAGTTGCCCTGATTGGGATTGTCTCTTGGCGCTGGTACAGGTGCCTGTGTCCGGGCAATAGGCTGTCGCGGCGTCGTGACTGGTCGTACTGGAGGCGGAGTGGGCGGTCTTGGAGGGATCCGTTCGTACGCTGGGAGTGGTGTCTTGAATCCAGATCCACTGAATAGTGTCGATACGCCCGGACTGCAGTCCAAGGATGCGACCACGACACAAAACACGAGATTAAAGACACCGTTAAAAGACGGATCGGCCGCAGCAATTTGCACATCCATGACTCGTCGATGTAGAGGATCGCAAAACTCTACATTGAGCTCATTGTATACCTCTCGAAAACCAATCTCTAGAAGCCTGACTTGGGCACTGTTCAGATCCTCTGCCATGCCGTCAATTTCCATAATGACGTTTGTGTCAAAATTACACTTGTTTGGTTGAGGTGGTCGATAAGTTGGTTGGCCGGGTATTGGGCCTGGACCTGGACCAGGTCCCGGAACAGGCGGCGGGTAAGGCTGGGAACGGCTGCCTCCTCCCATCATCCCTCCTCCCATCCCGCCCATCGATAATCTTCGACGGGAGATTCTCTCTCGTAGATTTCCTGAACGACCACGAAAAAGAGGACGTGTTTTCGAGTCGGCGTTTCTACCTCTAATGCTGCTGTTGTCGGTCGTAGGGAGACTACTGCTCGGTGTGCTGGTCGTTGGCGAGGGAGTCTCAGTCGCATCTGGTTCCCGTTTGGGTTTGGTGAGTGGGGCCATGTCGGGAGGGACAGTTGGCGAGTCCGACGAAAACAGTTGTTCGTGGAGCAGGTCGACTTTGTATTGCGGATATGGCTGAGTGCTGGTGAAGTTGCTACTGTTGTTGTTGCTGTTGTTGCTGCTGCTGCTGCTTTGACTGTCATAGCTCTTGCTGCTGTCTGATCGCGAAGATGATTCCCATTCACTTCCGGCAACTAGAGGTGCGAGCGGAGCTATCGTGCACACTATGAGCCAACAACGGAACACGAGACGCAACAAGGCGCGGGAACGCTCTCTTATATGCAGTTGACGATGACATGGCTCCGGTCTTCTCCGTCTCATACTCATACTCATGATCCCTGACGAAGGCGGTTTCGAAACTTTCGTTCTGCTCATTTCTGATGATCGTTCCGGTTTTTTTCGTGGTTTAGTACGCTCGTTTGGCATTCGTGTCCCCGTTGCCCTCCTCGTGCTTTTACTTTTACGATTTCCCATTCCGTCATCAACTGCTTGGTTCATTGCGAGCCGTTGCGTGCTACCAGTACTTTCTGTTGTTGTTGTTGATGTTCGTCTGATCCCCATTTCGCTTCGACTACAAGAAGGAGCAGTTGGAGGCATGTTCGTCATGGTGTTGGCGCCGCAACGACTTTTTTGTTTGAACTCGGGCTGGTGCTGTTCGATTCAACGGTCGCGCCAATCTTCTGAGGGTGGGAGTCAACTGGACTTCTCCAAGTTCAACGGTACGCACTCCCGTACCACCGGTAGTGAGCCACCGGCTACCGTAGGCTCGTATGGGTAACGGTATCTGCCGCACAGAGCTTCGTGCTGCGCACCTCCAAATTGCTGCGCATGCTGATGTCCACACTTCCACACTTTTTGGTCGTGAGGTGCGCCAACGAAACTGGGTCGCAAATCCATTCCCACGGAGCCTTATCAAGACAAAGCACTCGTGTTGCTTGCCTTTTCGGCAATGCATTTGCTGGTTAGTACCTTGAAGAAAAGGGATTGGCTGGTCTTCCGAAACGAATACAGTAATGAGCAGATCAGAAACCTAAGCTCGCAACCATCTTGGGGGAATGTCGAGCGAGATTGCAAGACCAGGCGCAAACGGCCACGAACTATTCCGGTTCAACTCTTCGCTGATGTCGGAAGGACGGACTCGAATCATTTACCCTTTAGGTACTGTACTGAACTGTTTGGTGCAGCTCCGGTATATCATACATATATTTGCCGCAGGCCTCTCGAGAACCAACAAAAAGTTATGCATTGTGTAGTGTTAGTTTACAGTAACGTGTAGGTCTGGCGGCGAGCACGAATGATGAATCAGTTTTGCAGTCAGCGATTATAGCGAAATATCGATTCACTCGAGATTACCAGTTGCTTCCTTGCTTCCTTGCAAGCATGCAAGCATGCTCTGCTTTGCGTTGCTTTGTTCGTGGAGTATGCAGATGCTGACCCGAAATCCATAAAGGAGCAGACAACTGCAACTGACGAGGGTTCTTTGCGCGAACGTGAGGAACAACGCACATCAATTCGCCCCTCGGTACCTCTGGCACTCGTTGCGCAAGTTACACCAACCTCAGCTGGAGCCATTTCTTGCATCGTCTTGCCAATGCCATCCTGGACCTACCGAGTAGACACCAGCACAAGACGAATCGCATCGTCATCCCACCTGCTTTTCATCAAGCAATTCATGACGAAGAACCTGTTCGTTTCTTCTTTGTATCGGTGTTTGCATCGGCGCCTATTCTGGGATGCCCTGCCTCTGAGGACGCCGAATCCTGTCTCCAAAACGAGTCAAAGAAATCTCCACCGGAGCCTCCATCGTTTTTGGACTGATCATTTGTCTGCGGTTGTGGCGCCCTTCTTGCACCTGCACGAGCTTCAGCTTGCTCTTGCTGTTGGTCATCAAAAACGTTCACTACGACCAGAGGACTATTTGGGAATCCCATACAAGCAAGCTCCAGTGCAGCAATTGCCCTCGATAGCGCTAGTCCAAGATTTGGCCAGTTCTTAATGTCACCCGACCCGCAATTGGTCGCTGTAGCAAAGCCACAAGTAAAGTAGCATGCATCAGCTGCCGATGGACAAATCGTGGGACGTTTAGGGCAGTTCTCTTGGAGCCGACGATTGTTGGGATTCCAGCGTCGTCGGATTGGCGATTGGCTTCTGATACAGGGGCTGGTTTCGTATTATCCACAGCTTGGCTGTCGTCGAAATAAAAGAGCCCAAAGATCGCCTCGCCATCCCAATCCTCAACTATAGTGTGGAAGTCAGAGTTGAACGTTTCCTGGATCGTATCCAACACCAGCTCATTCCGTTCATCGTCACAAGCTGAAAAGATGTCATCGGAGAATATAAGTTCGAGCGTGACGCCCATGGTTACCTTCTTGAGATTCTGGGTGCAGGGTTCGTCCTCCTCATCCAATCCTCCATTACGGCCACCAACATTGAACGTAGGGAAACTTGTCACGTCACCTGCTCTGCCTAGTATGGGGGTGGGAGCAACAGTTGCCACGCTGGAGTTTGCACCAGTTCCGTTCATTGGCCCTGTAGCCCCTTGCGAGATCGAAGGCATTGAAGTATTTGTAGTGCCCAATAAGGAGGTTGGTACAGCAGTAGAAACATTGTTGGATCCAACGGAAGGCTGAAATGTGCCACCACCAATTGAAGGCTGCAAAGTGGATATATTCATTCCAACAGCAGCAGAGGGTAATTGGGTTGTTGAATTTGCCATGATGACGGTGGGAAGTGTGGTTGATCCATTGTTAGATCCAATGGAGGGTTGAACTGTACCCCCACCAATTGAAGGCTGCAAAGTTGATGCATTCATTCCAACAACAGCAGAGGGTAACTGGGTTGTTGAATTTGCCATGATGACTGTGGGAAGCGTCGTTGATCCATTGTTAGATCCAATGGAGGGTTGAACTGTACCACCACCAATTGAAGGCTGCAAAGTTGATGTGTTCATTCCAACAGCAGCAGAGGGCAATTGGGTTGTTGAATTTGCCATGATGACTGTGGGAAGGGTCGTTGTTCCATTGCTAGATCCAATGGAAGGCTGAACTGTGCTTGATGCATTCATGGCAGAGGGCATTAGAGTGATGGAAGCATTCATCATCACTGTTGGTAGACTGGTTGTGCCGTTGCTAGATCCAATGGAAGGCTGAACTGTGCTTGAGGCATTCATGCCAGATGGCATTGGAGTCGTGGAAGCATTCATCATCACTGTTGGTAGACTGGTTGTTCCATTCAAGCTGGCAGATGGCTGAACTGTGCTCGACGCATTCATGGCAGAGGGCATTAGTGTCGTAGAAGCATTCATCATGGCTGTTGGAAGTGTTGTTGTCCCATTCAAGCCCACAGATGGCTGGACAGTGCTTGACGCATTCATTGCAGATGGCATTAGAGTTACCGAAGCATTCATGACTGTCGGAAGCATTGTTGTCCCATTCAAGCCCACAGATGGTTGCACAGTGGTTGATGCGTTCATGGAGGATGGCATTAGAGTTACAGAAGCATTCATCATCACAGTTGGGAAAGTGGTGTTGCCTGCTAGGAAGCCACTGGGAGCCGCCGTTGTCATGTTGACACCTGGGACCTGGGTGCCATTGGTGGTTGGGGCTATGGTTGTCATGTTGGCACCTGCCATGGTTGGGGCTATGGTTGTCATGTTGGCACCTGGCACCTGTGTACCATTTGTGGTTGGGGCTATGGTTGTCATGTTGGCACCTGGCACTGTGTACCATTTTGGTTGGGGCTATGGTTGTCATGTTGTGTGGTTGGGGCTATGGTTGTCATGTTGACACCTGGCACCTGTGTACCATTTGTGGTTGGGGCTATGGTTGTCATGTTGGTGGTTGGGGCTATGGTTGTCATGTTGACACCTGGCACCTGTGTACCATTTGTGGTTGGGGCTATGGTTGTCATATTGATGCCAGGAACCTGTGTGAAGTTTGTGGTTGGGGCTATGGTTGTCATATTGCTGCCTGGTACCATTGTGAAGTTTGTGGTTGGGGCTGTTGTTGTCATGTTGATGCCTGGCATTTGTGTACCATTTGTGGTTGGGGTATGGTTGTCATGTTGGCACCTGGCATTTGTGTACCATTTGTGGTTGGGGCAATGGTTGTCATATTGACACCTGGCACCTGTGTACCATTTAGGGTTGGGGCTATGGTTGTCATATTGATGCCAGGAGCCTGAGTGAAGTTTGTGGTTGGGGCTATGGTTGTCATATTGCTGCCTGGTACCATTGTGAAGTTTGTGTTGGGGCTGTGGTTGTCATGTTGACACCTGGCACCTGTGTACCATTTATGGTTGGGGCTGTGGTTGTCATGTTGGTGCCTGGCACCTGTGTGAAGTTTGTGGATGGGGCTATAGTTGTCATGTTTGTGGTTGGAAACAGTGTCTGATTAGTTGGTGGGAGTGTGCTGTTTGTTGTTGTTGGGCTGAAGTGTTTGATGGAATCGTTGTGGCATTGGATGGAGGAGGAAGAGGGAGACTGACATTTGTTGTAGGAGCAAAAGTCTGATTGGGAGAGATTGTCATGTTCTGGGAAGGAACAAGGGTTTCATTGATTCCACTGGGAAATATTGTTGCATTGCCAATGGCTGTTGGAAATTGTGTCTGATTGGAAGGTGCCAGTGTTATGTTTGTTGTTGGGGCTGAAGTGTTGGATGGAATAGTGGTGGCATTGGATTGGGGAGGAGGGAGACTGACATTTGTTGTAGGAGCAAGGGTCTGATTGGGAGAGATTGTCATGTTCTGGGAAGGCACTAGAGTTTCATTTCCAATGGGAGGTAATGTTGCATTGCCAATGGCTGTTGGGAATTGAGTTTGATTGAAGGGGCAATGGTGTTGTTTGCTGTTGGAGCTGTTGTATTGGCTTGTGGAGGCAAGCTGACGTTGGTGGTTGGTGCAATGGTCTGGTTGGGAAAGATTGTCATGTTCTGAGATGGTGTCAGTGTCTGGTTGGGCAAGATTGTCATGTTCTGGGAAGGCACTAGAGTTTCATTTCCAGTGGGTGGTAATGTTGCATTGCCAATGGCTGTTGGAAATTGTGTCTGATTGGAAGGAGCAATGGTGTTGTTTGCTGTTGGAGCTGTTGTATTGGCTTGTGGAGGCAAGCTGACATTGGTGGTTGGTGCAATGGTCTGGTTGGGAAAGATTGTCATGTTCTGAGATGGTGCCAGTGTCTGGTTGGGGAAGATTGTCATGTTCTGGGAAGGAACTAGAGTTTCATTTCCAATGGGAGGTAATGTTGCATTGCCAATGGCTGTTGGAAATTGTGTCTGATTGGAAGGAGCAATGGTGTTGTTTGCTGTTGGAGCTGTTGTATTGGCTTGTGGAGGCAAGCTGACATTGGTGGTTGGTGCAATGGTCTGGTTAGGAAAGATTGTCATATTCTGAGATGGTGCCAGTGTCTGGTTGGGAAAGATTGTCATGTTCTGGGAAGGAACTAGAGTTTCATTTCCAATGGGCAACATAGTTGCATTGTCCATGCTTGGTACCTGCGTTTGGTTAGAAGGTGCAAGTGTTTGGTTAGATGGTGCAATCGTCACGTTTGTTGTTGGGGCTGTAGTATTCATCATCGGTGTCCCTGCAGCAGGTTCAATAGTTGGAAAAGATGTGTTGCCTCTGGCGATGGTGGGAGCAGATGTGTTGGCTGTGATTATTGTTGGGAAGCTGGTATTAGTTGCATTGCTCCCAAGGGAAGGCTGCAAAGTTGTCATGTTCAGCATGAGGATTGTGGGTGCTTCTGTACTGACATTGCTCAATGTGGGGGTTACCGTGGAGGTTTGGTTTAATGCAGTGGGTGACAACGTTGCCGTTCCGTTGCCCACGGTTGGAGTCTGCGTTTCATTTGCAGCTGCAGCCGAGGGGACTCCAGTAGCGGTAGTTTCAACAGAAGGTTCGCTTGTTTGCACGTTGGTTGTAGGCCGCATTGTGACTTCACCTGACGACGTGGAACTGGTGGGGGCAAGAGTTCCCCGAAGACCTGACGGGGCCTCAGTTTCACTCGCAGCCGTCGTTGGTCTCATGGTCCCGACATTGTCGGCAGCAGTGGGTAACACGGTAGGTCGACTTGTATCCCCCATGTGAGTAGGTGCAACTGTTGGTGACAGCGTTGTGGCAGCTTGAGTTGGTGGAGGCGTGGCTGCAGTTGGATCAGGGGTTGCGACATCCATGAAAGTCGGCATCACAGTAGGACTGAACGTCATTACTTCGGAGGGCGGAAGCGTCAAAGATTTGTCCTCCATCACTGTACCACTTCCCATGACATTCTGTAAGATGCCTTGTTGGAAGAGTTGTTGTAGACGCCGATTTAGAACGTCGGCGAATTCTTGTTCGGTTGGTGCGCGAGGTTCTTGACCGGGTTGGCATTCTGGTGGGAACTCCAGCTCTCCGAGTTGCAAGTTCCTTCTCATTCCATCACTAAAGAGTGTGGCCGTCTCACGGCAGCCTTCTCCAAGACACGATGCTCCCACTTGGAAGCTCAGAACGAATGTTGAATCCTGAGCTGGCGTTGGATTGAAGAATGTCAGTGTAGCCGTCTCGCACAACCGTCCAAGCGGATCACAAAATCCTGCGAGCTGCAAGTCGTTGTAGACCTCAACCAGCGTTCTCTCCAAGATATCTATTTCTTCCATCGTCACAAAATCTGCATCGCCAAAGATATCAACGGTGATGTAGGATGCAAACGATTCCCTTTGAAGCCCAATCATGAAGTCCGCATCTTCTTCAAAAACTCCTAGACTCGCTTGGATGCTTGGCAACGCACCGTTTGCATTTAGCTCATCGATTCTCGCGGCAAATTGATCGGTAAAGTCAATAATCGAGGGTGCCCCAGACTGGCCTGAAAACACGGGGCAAAGGCAGGTCGCTTGTGCCTGCATTCCGCGCGAAACGGAGGAAGAGGATAACTTGTTATCTTCACCCAATCGCCGTTGAGATTCAGTGCTAAAGAAATCCAAGTTTTGGCTGCAACCTGAACCACGACACGTTCCTCGCAAAAGGAATTCCATGACAAAGGTCCCGGGTATATCACCGGCTGTTGTCCCCCGGTGTCGAACATCGTCGAGTTGGCGAAAGTACGGAATGTCACAGAGGGTAGCCTCAAGAGTCAGGTACGTGTCCTTGATCGCCTGCTCTACTTCTCGAATTTGACTTTCGGTCACTCGATTTTCTTCTCCTACGAATTGAATGAGCAATGCGGAATCAAATGTCTCCTCAACGGTAGAGCACGGGATTTGTGTTTGTTCGACCGTCTGGGCCACTTCTAGAAACGCGGAAAATTGTTGCCGCACCCCCACGCGTAGGTCTGGCATTTGGGAGATGGCTTGGTTAAGGGCCTGAGTGAATTCGAGTTCGGTGGGCGCTCTGAACGGAGCATCCTCTTTGCTGCAGCACCCGGAATCATCATACCCGCCCTTTTCGGAATTGTGCTTTGTACAACCTGCGTTGCGCCCCTCGGCGCCATTTCCCTTTCCACCGCTCTTGCTTTTCCTACTTTTGCTCTTGAGCCGTCGTCGTCCCGTAAATAGTCCCTTGCGGCTGTTTGCGTAGATACTGTCATCATCGTCTTCCAATCCTGTCAATTCGCGATTCTGGATGCTACCAATCGTATCCGCGTTTGTGGACGATGCAGAACGGCGAAGCTTGGGCTGTCGCTGGTGAGACCGAGGCTTTCTTGGCCGATAGTGTTTTCCATCAAGATCAAAGGGAACGTTCCGAAAATCGTCCAGCGTCGGTACCTTCCTTGTTGGCGATCTGGCATTCGGACTAGTTGGGACGTTTGTACTGGCGCTTACCGGAGTGCTTGGGTCGTCGACAGGACTTGCGACGGAGGGACTTGCCGTGGGAGGATCAGTGAGTGATGCACCTTCCACCGAGTGAAGCCCATCCAGCTGGTCTCCTAGATCCCAATGGAACGATGGCCTTCCAGCTCCGTCTGCTGCGGTTGCGGTTGCGGGTACGGTCGTTGTCGTTGCTGCTACAGGCGTAACTGGTTTGCTGGTACTCCAGTAAATTTGATTGGGACTCTGCGAATGCCGAGAGCTACTGGGAGCATATGCTGGTGCCGGTGTTTGCGGGCGTTGCCACTCTGCCTGGACGTAGCCGTGGCTTCCGGGCATTGAATCAAAGTAGGAGAGAGCGGGTGGTGAGAAGAGAGTGATATCTTCCGTGTCGCATCCGTAGCGGCACTCTCCAATGGTGTGGACCAACAAATGGATATTATCTACAAAGACAATCCGAGCATCTGAGAGTTCTCTACCGAATGGATCACAGAGGTCATTGCTGAGTGTGTTGTACGAATGCAAGACAGCGCGTTCGAGAATGCGGCTTTGTGTGGTGGACAATTCGGGTGAATCTGGATCGAGCACGAGAAGGATGGTGGATTGAAAGTAATTATCTCCCAGCTCCGGTTGCGCACCCTTGGGTGGGGCGTGGTAATGCTTTTCTGTGGTATGATGCTTCTTGGATTTGTGATGAGATCCCTTTTTCTTGCTTTTGCTTTTGCTCTGATACGGCTCTTGGTGGTGATGGACGGTAGGGTTCTTGGTATGGTCACCTTTGTGGTGATGACCAGCTTTCGGATGTTTCGTGTGATCTCCCTTGTAGTCGATCTCTGCCTTCGGCGCTTTTGTGGCTCTGGTTGCTTTTGGTGCCTTGGTATGAGCGCCTTTGTGGTGTTTACTCTTGGATCTCTTTGTGTGATCACTCTTGTGACGATCTTCGTCCACAGTTCCGGCGGCGTCATCATGTCCGTAATCCCGTTCTTGGTCGAACGCGTAATCATCAAGGTGGTGATGCTTTGTTTTTGTTTGAGGTCCACGTTGATCCTTGGTATCCGCTTCCTGATTACTGGCTCCGTGTCGTTTTTTGGTTTTGGTATGTGGTCCCTTGTGTTTTTTGCTCGCGGGAATGAGTTTGTCGGCTCCGTATTTCGCCTTGTCATTCTTTTTGGCGGCCTTATTGTAGTGAAACTCTTGCTCTACGTATTCTTCCACGTCGTGGAACTCTGCCGCAGTGTCAATGGGATCAAGAGTTGGAAAGGTTTCTAGAGGCAGCTGCGTGTGTTGGTCGTAGGCAACTTCTTCCTCGATGGAGATCGTGGACGACGAATAGTCTCCTTTCTTGTTTTTGCCTTTTTTACCTTTTTTCCCTTTTCGTTTCTGCTTGTCATCTTTCTCTTTGGTATTGGTATAACCAGATCTAGGGCCTTTGCGGACATTGCGATCTGGTGGTGCTTTTCGTCTTAGTCGTCGTTCTCGACCCAGTCGTCGAACGCCGCTGCTGGTTTCGTCGTTTTGATGGTGCTGCTGGCCCAGAGTGTACTCGTCTATACTTCGCGCTTCTCCTGTAATAGATCTTATCAGTATCAGGTATGCCAATAGCTTGAGGGCATTCGATGCTTTCCAGCTACATGCTGGAATAATCGCCATGGTGCATTGAATACCGGTACATGCGTACTGTATGTATGTGTGCGTTCTTGACCGTTGTCGTTGGCTCGAGATTTCCATTGTCATGGTCGAGCTTCAGAGCTGGCGCACCCCCGCCTCTTGCGCGCACCCCCATGCACTCCAACGGGTGCGCGAATGAATCGGGAGGTACGTAGTGTGAATCGAATCATTCAACAGTCGCACACTTGAACGTCAAAAAGGAAGTCCTGCATTGGCCAGCCACCTCAAGGGTACTGTACAACACGCGTGTTGGACTGGTAGCTATGCTGTTGATCGGTAGTACTGTAGTTGCAGTGGGTTGGTTCTAATAAAGGTCGCATTGGAGCCAATCTCGATCTAACTAAAGCCTCTCCGTCAACTTCCTCTCTCCGGTTAATAATCATGCTATGGACGCATGCACTCGACAGCCTTTGGCTCGAGCATTGTTGCTTTTTCGTTGATTAACCCTGTTGAATTCTTGGGGTTAACAGGGATTGGTTGTACCAGCACCTGTACCGGTGTGCCATGTGCGGTATAGAAAGAGTATGAAGCGTCAGGTTAGATATAAATCCCACGGAGATTAAATAATTAGGAAACTTGACATTTCATTGTGGGTCAACGGGTGACTTTCCAAGGATCTGGAATGTGGATGTCGTAACACTGTTGCCGTTGCATAATAGGTGGAGGGAAGGATTCAATGAATCGAATCGAATCAACAACCCAGAAGTAGAGAAAGTCATGGCATGGCATGGCATGGCAAGTTCATGGCATGGCATGGCATGCCATGAGTTGAAACAATACAGTATAGTACCGTACCGTACCAGTACGGTACACATTGGTTCAAGGGTGGAGGAAAGGGACAATAAGCGCCGGGCAAGCCTTTAGCTAATGAAAGACTGAAGTTTTTAAAAAAAGTTTCGGAAAGGATCCATCTGATCCCCATCGGAGTTTTCATTGGAACCGTCCAAGGCCTCCAAGCGCGTACAGTAGCTTGCCTCGTACTAGTAGCGTGGGCAATCCATAAACTGCAACTGAACTGAACTGCAATAGAGAAGGACTACGGGTACCAGAACCACCTATCAATCAATAGGTTGCTTCTTGTAATTCTTGTTGTTCTTCTTGTCACGTCCTCTGCTGCCTTCCAGCAGTCCCTTGCTTCCAATTCGATTGTGTGGAGTTCTTCGTCCTGGGTCCAGTGACACCAACAATGATAACGATAGTCTTGAATGGTTCTCCCCCCTTCTCCTGTTCATATTAGTCTATTCTCAATATACCGGTACTGGAACCAGCCACAGCCCATTCTCGTCCCTGCCATCACCCTCCTGCTGCTCCACCAATTGGGCGCCGCATGCTCATTGCCCTTTCTCGAGTCGTTGATGCTTGCCAACCCACACCGAAATCGAAATTCTGGCTAGAAAGCAAGGCCTTGCAAGGTGAACCATAGTAAAACATGTTGCTAGCAGGCAGTTTCTAATACTCTTGTATACGTTTTTTCTCTTGCTAATATGAAAAACTACTTTACATGAACAGAGATGATATGTTTCTTGCAGAAAGAACCGAGGACGACTTCCATTTCCGCCCTGTGGTACCACCTGCGAGGTCTACACCACCAAGTACGTGGGGTAGTCGGTGTCTAACCATGTTGGCCAATTCGTGGGGGCATTGGTCGGTCTGGGTTGTGCGGGTGGTTTCGTCCTGGCATTTCTAGCCTTGATCATTTGAGATCTTTGGAACATGGCAGCCGTAGTCGGTGTTGAGGTTGGCGCCGCTGTGGCTTCCTCAGAAGACAGAATTGGAGCGGGTGTGGAACCAGGGGGGGCTTCTACAGCATCCCCATTGGCTTGGATATTCACCACAGAACCATCGTCTCGGAGTGACAAAATTGCCGAGAACAAGTTGTTCTCGAAATCTTCTATGACTGGAGGACCTAAAACCTTGCCCATCCCGCAACCAATCATTGCTTCACCTGGCGAGGCAAAGAACATGGGTTTGTTGCTGCATCCTTGTCCCTCGCACGTTCCTACCCAGAAGAATCCCAACAAGAACGAGTCGTCTGTGGGACCTGGGTCCACTGTTTGGAGGACAGAACTGGTCAAGACTCGTGACACGGAGTCGCAGAAATCGTTGTCTTGGAGATCTTGAAAGATGACTGGCATGCTATCTTCAATGGCATTGACCTCGGACTCCGTCACAAGGTCTCGTTGACCAAAGAACTGAACAATGACAAAGGACTCGAATTGTTCCGTGGTTCCACGTGCAGGTCCAGGCGATAGCGTCTTTTCGTAGGCAACATCATCATCTGTCGTCTTTTCACTACTATTGTCACTAGGCATTTCCATAATATCCAAAACCGTCACCATGGTTTCCACCAAGCCAGTATTACATGCATCCTTTAGGACACTGTTCAGCACATCTTGTAGGTCAGATACAAATGGAGGGCCAAACTCGTCAACCTTCAAAGGACAGTAGCATTGTTCTTGGTAGACATGTGCATCGCCACCATCGTAGCCAATTTCATGACCCGAGGGAGAAAGAACGGGGTTGAAACCGGTTTCTGGGATGTGATGCCTCAAGTGGCGTCTGGAATCGTCGTCGTCGCCGTCGCCACTCGACGAAGATTCGTCCAAAGGATCAAAGAATGTGGCGCCATCTGAGCATTCCTTGCCTCGACAGGTTCCATGCGACTCAAACATGGCCAAGAAAGTGCCTTCCGCAGGTCCCGGAGCGATGCCTTTGAGCACGAGGTCTGTCATTTCACGAAAGTAGGGAACATCACAACTGTGTGTAGCCTGCAAATGGTTGTATGACTGAAGAATCGTCCGTTCCATCAGCATAATCTCCTCTGGCGACAAGCCCGCATCAGTTGATCCCGGTCCCATGAACAGAACCACAATCCCTGAGCCAAAGGACTCTTCCGTGGCGTCGCAGCTCAATGGTCGCACCTGCAAGGCGGTTCGAACCGAAATCTTGTTGTACTGAGCCAAGAGATTGTCAGTGACATGATTCAAACCTTCGACAAATTCTTCTTCCGTCGGCGCACGGCGAGGGGCGTCGTCGTTGTTACAGCTCTCGATGGGATGGTATCCCTTGCTGCCATTTTTCTTTCCTTTCTTTCCTTTGGACTCCGTTTCCTTGTAGCCTTTGACGCTTCTTGACTTGGATTTCTTGACAGATATCATGGTGCTGTCCGATCCTCCGAAGAAAGCTCGGTTGGTGTCTTCTGGCTCCATTGGCATGGGATCCCGATTGACATTGACGCCATGTTGATGCTCTACATCGACTGACTCTGGGTTCCGGTTCACTGCGTGATGGTGGTGGTTATGATTCAACTTTCTGACTCCCTCGTTGTGGTGATACCGTGCTCGACTTTGTGCGGAAATTCCGAAGTCGAATTCGGATGGTTCCTCTTCTTCCACGTGCTGTGGACCTGAGTTATAGTCAGATGGTCGCTCTAGTCGACTGCGCTCCTTTGATGCTGTTCGTACTTTCTTGGGCTTGCGCTGGTATGGAACATCCTCTTTTGCGGTGGCATAGGTGGTGGCGGTGCTGCTGCTGCTGCTGCTGCTGCTGCTGCCTCCACCGCTGTAATAGTAGCCGCCGCTGTCAAATTTGCTGCCGCCACCGCTGCCGCCGCTAGTACTGCTACCAGCACCACGATTTCGTCCGGTAGTATTAGTTTCAGGTGCAGGAAGTTCTCCAGCGGGCATCATCATAGTACTGTTGTCTCCAGAGGGCGTGTCCATGCCAGCGCCACCAGTTGCATTTCCAACTTGCGTAGTGCCTCCTCCAGTGCCTGCCGTGTCACCTGGATCAGTAGTTGTGCCACCGTCACTAGCGGTTCCATTGCCGCCAGGTGTGTCGGGAGTCTCCATTGTCATGTCGTCATCAATAGGCGGCCTGGTAGAATCAGGCATCTCAGGCTCCATGGGCCCCATTTCGATCATCATCATGTTGTCATCAAAGATCTCATCGGGATGGGCAAAGACACGGACATTGGTGGGATCGCAATTGTAGCATTCTCCCTGCAAGTGAAGAATGTACCCGGTCGATGTCGGTGTTGGGTCTGCAGTGACTGCAATAAGCTGTCGGCCTTGCAGGTCGCAGTTTTGGTTGGATAAGTGGTTGTATGTTTCGAGGACAGAATTTTCCAGCTGTTCAAGATCCATGTAGGACAACGGCGCCACGTAATGATCCCGCATCTCCAGCAAGACGTTGGCCTCGAAGTATCGAACACCAAGGTCAGGACCTCTTTTGCTCGATTTACCGCGATGGCCTTTCTTGCCCTTCTTCACTCTCTTTGCCTTGCTGCTACTGCCCTTGCTGCTGTACTTGCCCTTGCTTGTTTTACCAGCATCTGAATGAATGTGAAGGTAGTGTTCATCAATTTGCTCATCAGTCATGTGGACGTGAAGATACTCTTCGTCAATTTGCTCGTTGGTCAACGGCACGTCGTACTGCTTGTGGGCCTTGTACTTTTTAGCTTCCTTCCCTTTACTGACCTTTCCAACCTTGTGTTCCTTGGTCTTGGCGGCCTTGTGGACATGGACTTTGGCATACTTGTCTTTGGGTGCGTGTCGGTCCGCATCCGTGTGATTCATGGAATCAGCCACCTTGGCTCCTGCCTTTTTGGCTCCCTTCAGGCCTGATGCAGCTTCCATCAGAGTGTAGTAATCGTCGTGTTCAGCCTCAGATTCGGTGTCATCGACTTCGGCAGGAGACGTGGTTTCCATGACCTCCAAGTGAGCTTCTAGAACCTGTGGCGAAATAGTGTGCATATGGTTGTGATGGTGATGTCCATCGGCGTTGTGGTTGTGCTGGTGCTGGTTTCGACTGTGGTGCTTGAGTGCTCGATTGATTTGTTTGACTCGAGCGCTTTTGTGGTGTCGCCGTCGCACGTTCATTCGTTGAGGTAGCCGATTCTTGGTGCCAGTCTTAGCATTGGCATTAGCAGCTGTCGTTTGCAGCTCTTTTAGTTTCCACGGATGCAGTGATGGCTCTAGTCGATTGAGAAAGCCTGGTAGCTGGCTCTGCCCTAATTGCCCACGTGATGGTGGGTTGGTGTGCAGAAGCGGGACCTGAGCGGCCTCCTTTGCCGTGCCACTGACATCGATATTGCTAGTATTAGCCGAGCAAAGCGTAAGGTTGGACCCTACCAGCAATATAGTGACAGCGCTTAAGATTCGAAGCGGCCGACTGCGGGAAAACGATTGAGTTCGAGCTCTCCGCGCTGCTCTCGTGCGTGAAACGCTCACGTCGACTGTGTCTCTGTCCGCGCTTTTCTGGTCTTGACGATTATCCTCTGATTGCTCCATTTTCGACGTTTTGTATGACTGGCTAGTACGGTAGGAGGATAGCTTAGTGCCGTAGCAATGCCTTGTGTCTTTGTGGGAGCTGCCAAACAGTGCTTCTCTGAAGTTTCTGGTTGGTAGCCGAAATCGTTGTACCAGAGAGACAATGGTGTTTGATCGTCGAGCAACGCTCACATTTTGGTCGAGTCGTTGGCTCCCGTCCGCCCAACCTTGCCGACGAACCAAAAGGTGAGTGTGTGTACTAAAGATATCAGGCATGAAGAAGTCAATGCTGGGCTAAGTGATTCAATATTTCTCTAACCAGCCAACGCCTGGATGCAAGCATTTAGAACGGCCAAAAATGCAAGGGGACTCCCACCAATGCCAAAGATTCGCCCTTGGTCGTTGCGCGCAAGCCGTTCACACTTACTCCTTCGCGCACCTCTCATAAATCTTTCCATCACTGGTCTTCAACAGCACTCACAATGCACCAAAATGTTCGAGCCGAGTGACAGTCAAGGGCATTGACGAAAAGTCTTCAACCAAATTGAACTCTGTGCGAGCTGCCGCAACAACTCCTTGGCTGAGTACCACTGACGCTAGAGCCTGTCAATCTGGCTACCGATAGCCATCATACAGAGTCGTACAGCTGTACGATTGTCGCAGCCAGTCTTTTCTTGCATGCTGTAAGCAGGCTCTTGATCCAAATCCGGTGGTATTTGTCTGTCATGGCTAAGCCAAGTCATTCTCGGCAAGAAGATGGGTTCAGGCAATGGCATACAAAGCTGCGGGTCGAATCATGGCAAAAAAATACTAGCCCGATTTGATTCACGTTTTGCAAAGGAAGAACTGCGATCTGCGATCTGATATCTGATGTCTCTCCTCCTCCTTGATAAATCGTGCGTTGCCGGACAAATTGCCATGTCATTTCGTTAGACGGAAGAATGCAAAACTTGCTCACAAATACCTTACGGTACGAAAGACGAAAGACCTTCGCGGGTCGTTAGGGTGGCTCTGGAAATGCCTTCAACCGTAGCTAAATTTCAATGTTATGCATTGTAGCCATGTCCGGGGACGAATTTTTCTACTTCAAGGTCTCTCCAATTGTAGTGACTCGTTGTCCCAGAAGAGCTCAGCGTTGGGCGCGCCAAAGTCGTACGAGAGAAAATGCTTGTTCTAGAGATCAGAGAAGAAATGGAGAGCAATGCCACGACGCATGTGCACTCGAGCACTCAGTGCGTCGAATCCATAACGAAATTTTCGTCACCACGTTGGGTCCTCTATTTTTAAACTAAAGCTAGACTAGGGGGATGAGCAAACTTGCCCATTGCCCTTCATTGTATTTGATAGCGTTTTTTGTAAAAGTGTCTGTGAAAAAGCGAATATATGTTTTGGGCTGCAATTTTTCTATTGGATTAGATCGGATTGGATTGAATTGAATTGGATTGGATTGAATTCCAGTTTACTATACAAATAACAGTACTATTTGGAATCCAATTCAATCCAATTCAATCTAATCCAATGCAGTTTAATCCAATTGAATCTTGCTTCCCGCTAAAATCTTCATTTTATTATTTTGCTGACATTCTGAGTCACTCTTGTTGAGTACACTACAGGGCTACAGGGAGATTTGCCCATCCCCTAGTTAGTGCGGTACGGAGCCATCCATGGTCATCGAGGGCTATGTCATATGCATAGGGCTGGCCTTTTATTATTATCGGTTTACGAGATTCACCAGAAAATCTGAAATCATTGATTATGCGAGGTTCACAAGAAAACCTGGATCTGGATGCGGATGATCTTGCATGCAAGCCTTCAGCATCAGATCAAATGGACCACTCATTGCAAAGATCAGGGCTAGGTGTTCTACAAGAATTTTAACATGACGCTGCGAGCAACGGCATTTGATTACGAAAGGAATGGCGGTGAGATTGAGTCTGAAGACGAGTGCGTTCACCCTGATTTCTGTCTTTTGAAGAACAACAGACTCCTATATATGCATAGTCATGTCCAACAGGATAATATGGTGAAGGACTGGAAACCTGTACAAATCTTGTGTAGCAACGAAGACGAGCACAAAGATTCGACGGAGCCTTGCCAACTTTCAGAGAGGGAAGAGGGTTATCTCGGTCAGAATCAGCCAACTTCCAGCCTTCTGGCTAAACAGAATGACTCTAAGGATGCCGAACCAAGCCGGCTTAATAGGGAAGATGACCCTGCATTATCAGACTTTGCAAGCCCCGTGCAGCGGCCTGCAGAATCCCAGCCAACTGAAGAAAAGGAGAATGCCTCGAAGGAAAGCAACTTTGCTCCAGGAGATCACGTTTACCAATGGCGCAAATTCCTTGGAATCCCCTTTGCATTTCAGCATCATGGTGTTGTGATGGACGTGAAATATGTTAAAGGAGAGCAAGGAGCGGTTGAAGAAACACTCACGATTCTGGACTATACAAAGCAACCGGGCTCAGGATTCCTTACATCGGCTCCTGCTTCCACCGGTACGAGCACATCGTATCAGGGGTCAACCTCGAGCGTCTCGTCGTGCTGCGACATCAAAAAGTGTGAGAATACGTCCCAACAAGACCGTGGAACAGCGCGAGTCATTACAACCGAGGCAAAGGGTTGGCACAAAGTTGTTTACAGTGACAGCGTCATCAGTGCAATTTGGAAACGGAGTGGCACATACACCGTTGTTGCGAGCGATCCACCTGACGTGGTGATGAAACGAGTGAACTTTCTCCTGGGCCGCAAGGAAGATGGGACGATGGAAGGAGATCCAGTTGAGTTACCCAATTTTAACGAAGTTTTTTCCAACTGTGAGTGCCTGGCGGTTTGGTGCAAGACTGGAGTGTGGTCAACAATGCAGGCTGCCTCTTTCTGTGTCCAAAGTTCTGTGAGTGGAGTTCCCCAGACAGCTTCCTTGGTGGGGACTGTAGCTGGCTCAAAGGTAATAGTGGCGAGTACCGTCCCTGCGAAGGGGCTACTAGGTTGGTTTGGAGCAACCACCACAACTACAACGGCGGTCCCATTGGTATCGATTCACCCCTGGATCATTCCTGCAATGATTGGCTTTGGAGCCGTGAACATAGGAGGCCCTCTGGCCTTTCTTTTGATTGCCAAAGCAAAGTGGAATTCGACCACTACATTGCTGAATCAGGCCTTTGAAGGAGAAATGGGTGCATCGCAGGAAAACGAAATCTGAGGTCTTAGTCGACAGTGTTGACCGTGTGCCGACGACAACTATCGAGCCACTCGTGTCCATGCCATTTCCATATGTAGCGGTAGCGGTAGTAGCTTCCCAACATCACGCCTTCCTGGATTTAGTCATCTCTTTCCGCGTACGTGCTTACATGAACTATGTCTAGTGCGATATGCTGCCAATACGGATCATCCTATCTCAATGAGATGCCAGAGCATTGCAGTCACAGCCCAAATGAGCCTCCCCGGCAAGAAGCTCCTGGCCACTAAGATGCACAAATCGAAAGACCCCGACCCTTCTCGCCCGAAGCTACCTACCGGCACGCGGGCTCCTCAGGTTTCACCATCAAGTTTTGCGAAGGTCAATCTGCTGTCCTAGCTAGTTCTTCCTTCGGTATAGTCCTGCATGGTCGTGCGTACTGAGCTTGTTTCCTCCGTTGTGGCTGGTGCGTTTGGGAAATTCTTGTACAGCAGCTTGAGCCAAGTGCAAGTCAACAATGGTGGGCTCCAACATGCAGCCACGCAGGAGCCTAGCACTAGTACCAGCGCTAGAGCGTGATAGAATACACAAGGGCTGCAGTGGGCAGCTAGGCCGGGCTTGGGAGTCTCCTGCTAGTAGGGCGAAGCAGCAATTGGGGCCTGGGATGCTAAAATGATTTCACTGTCTTCACCCAGGGATGGTTCCAGCCAAGGATATATAGATCATTGTATGTACGATCTGAAATACAGACATGTTCTAGTAGTTGAGGTAGCCTTACCTGCCTGTAAGAATCAATGGTGCAAGAACCCGACCGATTGTCTACAGTATGGATGCGCGTGGGAGACAATTGTTAATCCTGCAGTGACACGAACGTACGGTATTGGCGGTATCTCCAATCTGCAAATCGGGGTGCAGGATCACGGCCGAAACGAAGTGGCAGGATGCATGCATACAGGAGTGAGAGCCGTACGTACAGCGAGCCAAGCAGTGGACGCTCGACTGTCACTGGACGCTGGATGCAGCCGGCTCCGAAGCCCAAGAGATCTAGCTAGCTAGCTAGAGATCTTGGACTCCAAAGCAGGCGCCAAGAAGAAAAAGCTCTTTGGTGCCTGCAGTACACGTACCGGTGGTGCCAGCATTGAAGATGCGTCCGCACAAAAGTTTGAAATAATCGCTGAAGCAGGCTGATTTATTGAGAGCCAATCTGAATTCTTTCAAAGTAAGCCGGGGATACAGCAATTTTAAAATACATTGATAAATCAAATGGATACCCCAACCTTGGAGTACCTTGGGGTACGTGTAGCGTGTAGACCTAGTCTAGCTATAATATGAAAGTCCATCTGAAATATTAAAAGAGCACATCTTGTAATCCCCTCTTTGAAATAAGGGCCGTCAATTTTCTATTGCTCTGGACTCGACTCTGGAGCTAATCAGCTAGCAGTAATTATGGTTCAGAAGGTCTCCTGTAACCTTTCAAAGGGTTGCAGAATCGCTTTTTTTAATTCCTTTGGTCATGGTTTCCATTCACAGAAATATGCTGTAAACACTGTAAAAACCAATCAGTGCCCCTGTGAGGTGGCGGCGGCAAAAAAATCTTTCCCACCGATCACAGTGTTACCAGAGTGTAGAATATCACTTCAATCTAGCTATTAATAGCTACCGTACATGTAGCGATAGTACCACTATCTATTTCGTAAATAAAGTACGTACAGTGTACACGTACTCACAAAGGTCGCAGTCGCATGAAAAGGCATTAGCTACAAAGAAGCTGTGCTCTCGCAGTACTCTGGAGTAGAGTACTGTACAAACCATACGCGTGCTATAACATTTACAGTACATGATTGTAGCTAACGGAATGTTGCTTGAGAAGCGTGCATGTACTTTAACTCCAAGTGAGTACTGAGTACTCTGAGTACCGCACAACGAAGCGAACGAAGTGGACTCGGAGCTTTCTTCAATGTTTCCTCAAAGCTTGTCCATTCAACAAGCACTCTAGTACAACGCTTCTGTACAAATCCTGCTTTGTCACAATAACTTCTGAGCCCCATTCTGTGACTGGGATCTTCTTGAAAAAGCATCATGCTGACAGGTTGATTGTTGACTGTCAATGCCATGCCTAATAATGATGCTACTGTACTGGTACCACCACCACAGAAACAACCAGTCGCCTACTAAATTAGATTGCCATGAGTTCCTTTGTTGACTGCCTGGAAGGGGATGAGAGAGCTGTTGCTGATAGTGGCTACCGTGGCCACCCTGAGTTTTTTGATACCCCTTGGAAGCATCTCGACAATGATCAGCAGAGGCGCCGCAAGGCTCTTGCCCGTGCCAGGCATGAGACTGTGAACAGGCGCTTCAAGAAGTGGGAAGCCCTCCACGGCATCTGGCGCCACCCACTTCAAAAGCATGGTGTTGCCTTCCATGCCGTTGCCAACATTGAGCAGGTGCTCATTGAGAAGAAGAGAAATGTATTCCAAGTGGAATACAATGACCGAATTGGCAATGAGTTTGATTATTAGGTAGTTAGTTTTT